ACTCGATTCAGGTTTCGAACAGGACCGAACAGAGCTTAGATAAAAATCACATTCCTAAGTTACAAAGCTGTTTAATATTATATTTATTAAAAAACATTTCTATATACTAGGTATATAATATTTGAATATTTTAATAATAAACTTTCTAGTAATATCTATATAATCTAAAACAGAATTTATTCATTTTAATATTTTGATATGTAGTTGCAACACTTTGAGTCTAAAGATAGTTAATGCAAAATTGCTTTAGTATATAATATAGTAAAGGTTATGTAATACTAATTAAATTATTATTTCTTTTCAAAAACAACAATTGAGAAACAGTTTCTGGTTTAAGGCAAGTCTGTTTTTGGGATACATGATTTCTAGCATCAGAGAACAAGTGTTTGCTTGATACAGAGGTAGCTGGTATAGAAAGGTATTTTTTTGTCAGCTGACTTAAATTTAGAAATTCTTTTTCATGCTCTTTTCACCATACTTGAGGTAAATATTCTTGTGGAACAAGAGGCACCTTTTTAATATTCAAGTATCTTTCTATCTTATCCTAAGTTAAGCAATTCTCTTCATCATCTTGAAAAATTGATGCAAAATAATGGTTAATTGATGAGGTAGTGCTTTGAGATAGGTTAGATAGTAAAGATTTGTCTCTGATAATAACATTAAGCTCTTTATGACATATGTTAATTGTTTTATCTCGTATATAGTTGGACCAAAGGTGCATCTTTTTAAGCCTTGGATCTAATAATGTTGCCAATAGACCTGTATTATTTTGAGTTCTCCAATATTTCTAAAGCGATTCATATATAGCCTGCTTTACTTCTAAAATCATAGATTGAATATGGAGAGCTTTCGATGGTTGAATATTAGAATCCTCATCCCTTTCACTATTACTGTTAATATCTGATGCTGTAAAAATAAGTAAATATATAAATAAATTATGAATTTGATAATTATTATTGCAACATAATAATACGGTACCATATTCTTCAATATTGGCCTCAATTAAGGATAGGTTCAGATCAGTTGCAAATTTAAATTTCAAAAATTTAATAATCGGATATACAATCAATAATGTTGGGTATTTTTTAGTACTAAATACTTTGGTAGTTTCATCAAATAGTTCAAAAATGTTTATTAATTCTTTAACTAATCTCCACTCATTTTCATTAGGCAAGCAGTGTCTGAGTTTTTTTCTATCATTTTTTTTATCTAAATGCTGTGAAATATTCAGGTTAGCCTCCAACCATATAATTGGGTCTTTTAATTTTAACAACCATTTTCAAGATAAATATTTCAAGTTCCATTGAGTTGGACAGTCTTTAACTAACTTAAGAGCCCAAGAAGCAGTATTTGTATTTAATTACTCTTTTGAATCATCATTAATTTCATTAGATTCATCAGCTTCACTATAAATATCAGAAGCAGGTAAACTATCTCTTTCAATTACTGTTAATTGTGCTTTTTTTAAATTTTCCATTTGTTTTGGAAAATCAAAAAATTTAACTAGTTTCCTGATTTTTTTGTATATATATGAACCTTTCTTAATGCAGAGTTAACAGTTAACTGCAGCATATGCACTGCACACAGAATTTGTTCAACAAAATTCCATGATTGAAATGCTTTTACTATATTGGTGCTGTTATCAGTAACGGCATATATAACCTTCTCTTAAAGATTAAATTCAATACATTTATTCCAAATAAATTAGTAAATATATTCACCAGTATGCGGATATGCTATTTTTTCACAACACAACATTACATTACATAGTGTCCAATCAGACATTATCCAATGACAAGTAATGCCTATATATCTGTCATTGTTACGTGAAGTCTATATATCAGCGGTTATTGTGACATTTTGGCAAGATGCAATTTCATGTTGAAGGGATTCAACATTTTTTAAATAACTAAGTGCAATTTGATTTTTAATTAGCCAATTGGAAGTAGGACGAAATTTTGGATCAATTTTTGCCATCATTTGGCGAAATCCCTCCTTTTATAGTGCAGCTAATGGTTGGTTATCGAGAATAATCTATTCCATAACTGCTTTATTGATTTCTGATTGTTTGATGCCTTTATATGGAGTATTAACATTTATTATTTCAGGTAACTTGGTTTGACGTATTTGTTGAACCTCAGATTTTAATTTTTTATCATCTATAATATTATGTGATGATCGCAAGTGGGCAATTATGTTTGATGTTGACTTGTCATGAAAATATTCTGTTTCACACTTTTTTTCTATTCCATTTTTTTTAATAAAAACTTGACATATATCATTTTCACCAACTAATTTAAAATACTTCCAGACAAAACTTCAATTATTATGATTTTTTTAATAATAGGTTAAGAGATAATGGAATTATTTTTATTATCACTTTCAATATTATAAATTCTTTTTCTTGATAAACTAGATTCGGGTTGAGAGTCTTGAGAATTTTCTTGAAAGTCCTTTTGAAAATCCTCTTGAAAATCCTCTTGGAAATGCATTTGAAATGGTATAAAAAGTGATCAAATTGGTCAAATTATAACAAGATAATACAATTTAAAACTTAGGCACTATAATAAAAAAGTGATTTTAAAAAAAGCTTTTTTTAAAACTGAAGAGGGATATTTGCCTATATTGTTAAGAGTGGATGTGGAGTTATTGCATTTTATAATAAAAATACCAAAAGACTTGGTAAGTTTATTATTTTTTAATCAAACTGGCTCTGTCAAAAGATATACTATATTTTACTTGTCTTTTTATACTACTATATTTTTCTAATGTTTTACTAACAGTTTCACTCTTCATTTATTAGATTTTTCTATCCAATTGTTCATCATCACACTACTTTAAAGCCTTATTATTATTTTTTTGATTAATGCCTAATTTAGTACTTGGTCTTATCCGATTTGGAAATCAGATGTTATGGCTTAAAAGAGCATTTTATAGTTACTTGTCTTTTTATACTACTATATTTTTCTAATGGTTTCACTCTTCATTTATTAGATTTTTTTACACAATTATTCATCATCACACCACTTTGAAACCTTATTGTTATACTTTTGATTAATGCCCAATTTAGTAATTGGTCTTATCCAATTTGAAAATCAGGTGTTACAGCTTGAAAGAGTGTTTTATAGTTCCAGCCAATTTAACACAGTGCCATAAGCATAAAATAAGAAATAACTGATTTATTACTAAAAAATAGGATCGGTACAAACAGATATATTCTAAAGGGTACCTAGTATACTAAAGAATTTCTACAAAAATTTAAACTTTTCCAAATTTCTAAAACTTTCTTTTTACATATCAGTGTTCTATAATATAATTTGAGAATTAATTGTAGCTTATTAGTAAGATTGATTATATAAGCGCATATGATAATTTAATAAATATGAGGTTCAATCCTGCAAATCAAACCTCCACTTCTGATTTTCATGAGTGATAAACTGTACTAAAGTAATAGCTATATTGTATCTTGAGTTAATTGGTAGACAGATGTTGTGGAGTCGGGTGTATTAGAAAAAAGTGGGAAGGAGTTAGAAGCATTGTGAGGCTACGAATAAACCTTTGAGCCTAGATGTTGTTTGCTACAAGCATTTATTAACCCTACGACAATTACCCAATCAGAATAAAAACCTGCTATGCTTTTGAATATTATTTCATACTTTTTTAGGATATCTTTTTCGGAATACAAAACTATTTTTTCCAGAATACAAAATCAGATTAACCAGATATACATAAATTTACTTTATAATTACATTAAAATATCAGTTTTCGGATTATTAGATAAATGCATACAATCACTATTAGTAATATATTAATTATATATCTATCATATTTTTTTTTTTTTTTTTTTTTTTTAAGGTGAAGTTTTGCCTTTATCTTTTATTAATATTTTGTATTGAGAATCCACT